TGGCTTGGCCAATAAAGGACATGTGCAGAGTGGGTCTTCAGCCACTCTTTGAGAACTTGGTTGAGTGCTTTCGGATCATTTTTCTGCTGAAATGAACCCAGTCTGAGGTTAAGATTGTTGGAGCAGGTTTTCATTGAGAATATCAATGTTGTAATCACACCTTTCTCTATGCTTTTTCTATATGCTTTCTTTACAAAAAAAAAAAGCATCCCCATAGCATGATGCTGCCATAAACATGCTTCACTGTAGAGATGGTTTCATTTTTGTCTTATCATCCCAAACTAGAGACGAAGGCAATAAGCAGTGTTCAATGATACATCACTATTCAAAATGACATCTGATAGACAGCAAAACAAATAAAAAATAACACTTTGTTCTTGTTTTGTACAACTGGATAAAGATTCAGGTATAACAAGGGTGATGTGTAAGATTTCCAAGTCTATGCAGCTGTGCTCATATTCTGATTAGTGTGTCATATGAGTTTTTCCCCACAAGGTGGCAGTGTAGTTCCACACAAAAAACATGTTCAGGAGAAAACAAATGCTTTTACTTTAGAGTCCAACTGTTAATTTGCTGCCCATTTAATCAAAGTAAATTCTTTGTATTGCAGAGGCTGTTAAAAGTTGTAGAAAATTCTTGTCTGAGAAATATTCTCATATCAATCAATTTTTATATATAACATACATTTACTTAGGCTTCTTTGTTACTATTTTTTCTTACTATTAATTTAATATTTTCTCTTGCATATACATTTTCTGATGTATAGATAGATAGATAGATAGATAGATAGATAGATAGATAGATAGATAGATAGATAGATAGATATGTAAGAGTTAGATTAACTACCTGATGTATAAATAGCAATACTTTTGCCAATACCTTTGATAACGTTCTTAGAGATATTTTTAATCTCCCTGTTTTTAATCTCACAGTACATGTTCAAAATTACTGTCTGATCCTGATCTGTTCTTGGTTCTCACCTTTACATCTGGTTAAAACATTGATCGTATTGTATTTGGTATCAATATGGGATTGTTTAGATGAATCACAGCTCTCTACTATTGTTTGATTTATTAAACCTCTACATACATCTGCATTTGCGTGTTTATCTGTCTTTCCTGTTTTAAATAGTAAGGAGAAATAAGCATCTGTCATTGCCTCCTTTATACTCAGAGAAAACCTAAACAAGTATGAATATTTATATATTAAAAAAAGGGGTATAATTACGATGTTACAAATCTGTGTAAACCTTATAAAATAAAGTTTGTTTAAAAAGAAATAAAACAAATATTTTGGATTTCATATTTGATTTCAGTCTTGATGACATTTTATCAGCACCTTTCCTCTTGACTCTGGAAATTTCCCTTCCAAAAGTTCTCTAAATCTATCAGATTGTGATGATATCTTTTGTGCGCCCTCCTTCTCAGATTTTCAAATGGATTCAGTTCTATCTGGTGCAGCCATTGAAAAACGTTTCATTTCACATTTTTTAAACCATCAAGCCTGACTGGAATTTAAAAATGCTCTGTATTTTATTCACTTTGACAAAAACTCTAGTAGCAAAATTCAAATCCCATTTATGATATAAAGGATTATTTTCACACATAGAAAATAAAAACGTTGGGTCTCCTTCAGCACCTAAACAAATGACCTAAGGAAGCTTCCCAGAGCAAAAATGATGGATGCAGCTTAAATTCACGGCTCACAGAAAGCTATACTTTCACTAAAAGTAAACCTGAAACTGTATTTCATTGCAATTATTTCTGTTGTGTTTAAATGTATGCTTGTGGCAAGGTATGTTATGATGCATTTAAACAATAAATCAAAATAAAAGAAGAGACAAAATCCAACCTGCTCCAACAAAAGGTAGAATCAAAGGAAATTCAATCAAATTTGAGACAGTAAGCTGCCCAAATGGAACAGCCGGTTGCTACTTTGAATTTCAAATGGGTTGGACACGGTATTTATGCAGAACCGCAATGGGTTTGAAACCTGGAATTACAGGGACACAAATGAAAAGCTTCCCTCATCCAAGCATACCGCCAATGCCAAAATAATTACTGTCAGCGCTTTTACAGCAAAGACAGAGCCAGAGAACATGACATTCTTTGGCTCAGTATATCATGTTCCCCTTTCTGTTCTGCTCCTACGGTAGGAAAAAAAAAAAAAAAAAAAAGAAAAATAGCCCAGTCATGTTTAAAGTACACACAAAAGCATCAATTTCACTGAAACAACCAAATTCTGTCTCTGTGTTGAATCAGTTGCCAAGCCTTTAGAAATCTAGAACAATGAATGAATCTTTGCAAACTGGGAAATATGTTCTGAATAGATAAAACATGTGAAAATAATTTTTATTTGCTGTATGCAAGAAAATAAATAAACTTTTTTTTAACCTTAGTTCTGAGAGTTTTTTCGCTGACATTGCTTTAAACATTTTCAGTTGGATAAGTTTATGCCCATACCAAAAATGATTTATGTTTATTTTGTCTTTGTAAAGTTCAGTTTAACAGGAATCCTTATTTTAATCATTTTTTAATCATTTTTTTGTTCTTTTTTCAGTTTTATTGTACCTTTCTTTATAACCTGTTGTTAAATAGAATTGCTGTCAAGATAGGCAATATGCCCATGTTTATAGTATCTTTATAACTTTTTATCTCATCACTTACAAACCTGTTGCTTAATCAGATCATATTCAGACATAAATGATAAAATCTCAGTAACAACATTTGACTCAGACACAAACACAGCTTTAAGAAGAGTACATATCTATTTTTGTTAAAGGCAGTCAAACCTTTTTTAACTACAGATTGATGCAAAATTATATTTAGGAGGATGAATTTTCCAGTTTTACTCAAAAGATGAATGAATTTATAAAAAATAAAAAATGAAAGTAAATGTATTCAGCAATTTTCCCCCATGACACGTGACTCTATGATCTAAGTGGTAATCCTTATCCTAAGATTCCTCCCATTAATGCTGATGAAGGGCTGCAAATTTCATGACATTCATGGTAATTCTCAGCTATAATGGCTTAATGATACAATACTGTAAAATGATATAAATGTGAAATAAAGTTGTTCAGCTAAAACTAATTTTAATGTCATCAGCCTTCAAGTTGAAACATATCTTCGCAATAGAAATAAACAATAATTCAAAAAGTAGAAAGAAAGAATTCAGTTTATGTAAAAATAAAAAAGTATGTACTACTACAGTATGTGCCAGGAGATTAATTATAATCGTTCCTTAAAGAAGGCTGAAACTACTGAAACCGAATAGCAAATAAAGCATAATGATATTAATTGGTTGCACCTTGCAAAGGCAGCAAGAAACAACAAATTAAAGATTTAATTTAATCCCTTTTCAAATCTAACATGAAAAGATAAATGTGTCAATGAGTGAGAGGTTATGATTTTCATTTTCATTTTATTTTTCGTTGTTCAAATTCACTTTACAGAGATTTTATTTAAAAGAAAAAACAAGTTTAACAAGCTGAAGTTAATTTTAATCTGACCAGTTTTTCAAGAGCAGGCTAAAAGCCATGTGCCACAAAGCTGTCAACCTGCTAAATTTCATAGTGTTTTAAAATTAGTGGTGTTTCCCAATAGCCAAATTTCTTTGTTCAGACCATGGAAAGACTTTCAGCCATCTAACTGGCAGTGGGCAGCAATAAACAGGATAAGAATTGCATTATTATGCTCTGTCTGACATTGTGAATGTGTTATCATTATATTTTGGCCTGTCTTTTTCATTTTATTTCCTTTTTTTAGAAGTAGTTGAAGGATGTTTCAATAATGAATTAATCATTAATGAGTAAGTTATTGTAATAGCACTGCAAAATTTCCTTAGAGTACTTTTGATCACTATACACTGACTGTGTGCATATGCGAGGGCTGGTAGTCTTAAGATACAAATAAAAAAAAACATTGTGATACACAACTTAAATTGATCACTTCAAGTGGTTAAAGTAATAGAATTAAGTTTGCCCAAGTTTTTTCAACTTATAAACTTAAAACATTATGTTGGATCCACCTAATTCAATGAATTTACCAATTGAAGTGGTTAATTTAAGTAGAAGCAGCATTTTATTTTTAAAGTCTAATAACAATAAAGTTTTCTTTAAAATCGCCTGTTCCTTTATAGCTGCATACAATGGCGTAACGACACAATAGGCCCGTAAGCAACATTATATGGGTGGCCCCATATGAAGTACAACACTCTGGATTACCCATAATTCCAAATTGTAGTGTAAAAATTAAAATACTCAAATACATTGTTCTTTTAAGATCTCTATTGCGGTTTGAAACCTATTATAGCGTATTATTTACCAACCGTCTAATGAACTATACACCGTTATCAACATAGTAATTAAAAGTACCACTTTCTGCTTTGCTATTGGTGTCGTCTTTAAACGCCTCACCATCATGTTTAAATCTGGCATGTGTTGGGGTGTAAATAAGGTCCGGTCAGTCACCTTAAAATCAGGTGGGTTTTAAGAGGGATTTTTGCACCATTACATTTGCAATTAGACATCCTAGTCCACAATTGCGAAGGGGGCCAACCAAGAGTCAGTGATGGGGCCCCTAAGCAAGTGCAGTCTCTGCTTACAGATATTTACACCATTGGGTAGGGTGGCCCCAGGGGTGGCCAATGATGGCCTAAGGGTGGCCATGGCCACCCCTGGCCCTCCATCTAGTTCCGCCCCTGTGTTTCTTTATAGCTGCATTCAGCAGTTCCCTACAAGTAATCAGCTTCAAGAGGGGAACAAAACAATTGATTTTGGGCTAAAAAAAAATGTTAATGGTGCACTGATTTTATAGAAAATTTTTGTTTCTCTTCATTAGGGTTTTTCTTTTTCTTTTTCTTGGAAAGCACAGCTATCCCTCATCCCTCTCTGTGAGACCATCACTCCTCATTGTGACCTCCTCTTTCTCTCCTTTATTCGCTGAGGGACTCTCCTCCTCCTCCTCCTCCTCTCCCTCCTCCCCCCTCTCCCCTCCGTGCCTCAAATTCTGGAATCATGGTGCTCAGACTTCCCATTCCTCCTTTCCCCTCCAGGATGGGTTTCTTCAGGTTTCTGTGTTCTATTAAGAACGATATAATCCTCTTTCTGACACCATGCGTCCTCCTTCCTCTACCACTGCTGATCGGGACATCGGTATGTTTTCATCTGATAATAACACATCTGAGGAGGAAAATATGATGGCAGGGGGAGTTTTCAACTGTTTGTTTTACTTTTTAACTGATTGAACCAATTATAATTTAAACGAGCTGTAAGAATAGCTATTCTTTTTTTTCTTTTTTGCACCTGTTGCGCATAATTGGAAGGCTGCGTCGCATGGGAACCGATCTGGGTTCCCGGAGGCTTTACGCTGCGCACTAAAGTCCTGTTATTTTAACTTCTTATTTTTGTTAGCAGGAACTATCAAGTGCAGCGTGGGAACCCGCAAAGTCAAAGGGCTCTGTTCACATCGTTACCTCTACATGCGGCATAGCTGCTGCCTGCACCATGTTATGATAGCAGGGATTAACTGTAATAATGCGCAGGAGTCATGGAAAAGACTACAAATTAGATGCAGGCTTCCTAACTTGCACTTAATGTTTTAAGAAAGCACAAAGGATGTATTTGAGAAAAAATTGAAAGAATGAACATATAGCACAATTCAGTACAAAAACAATGCAAAGTGCTTTACATGATTAAAATATAGGAAAATAAAACAGAATCTAAGCAAGGAAGAAAAAATAATAATAAAATAAAAACTGCAGAAACAAAAAAGAAAATTAAAAACAGTTGGACTAAAGAAAATAAAAGAGTTGAGCTAATGATGTTTCAGTTGAACTATTTAACTAGAACAGTCGAAGGCAATCCTAAACAAATGTGTTTTTAGTCTTGATTTAAAGGAACTCAGGCTTTCTGCACCTTTACAGTTTTCTGGAAGTTTGCTCCAGATACGCGGAGCATAGGAACTAATTGCTGCTTCTCCATGTTTAGTTCTGGTTCAGAGCAGGCTGGAGCCAGAAGACCTGAGTGGTCTGGAGGGTTGATACACTAATAGCAAGTCTGTGATGTATTTAGGTGCTAAGCCATTCAGAGATTTATAGACTAACAGAAGTATTTTAAAGTATATTCTCTGATATACAGGGAGCCAGTGTAAGGACTTTAGAACTGGGATGATGTGCTCTACTTTCTTAGTCTTAGTGAGGACACGGGCAGCACTAATAGGGTAGAAATTTCCAACTGAAAGTGTCCTTATTTATATCACAATTAGTGAAAGGTTGCCAATATCAAGGAAATAGAAATTGTTTTCTCTTCTTAATCCCCCTGATTTCTTATGACTATGTATAACTAACACTTACGTTTGCAGCTGTCAAAATATTTTGGGGGTAGTGTAAGATAATGAGTGACCCGAAAACTTTATTCAGTTTCAATAAGATCTGACTAAATAATGCAATTCATATTTGTTTCATGGCAAGCAAACAAATAATCATATTCAAATACATTGTGATTTTTAAATTAGTTGAAAAGCTGTAGTTTTTTCTCCCATAAATGAAAAAAAAATGGATAATGAATTATTCAACCATGTGTTGTATTGTGGACTTCTTCTCAATGGTGGATAATCAAGGTTCAGAAGGTTAAAAAAAAGCCTTTAGAGAACTTTTTTCCAACCATAAGCATTTCCAGCTCCACAGCATAGACAGAGGCTCAATCTAAATAAAGCAAATTGTACCTGTAGCTCCTGGCTCCTTTCTGTAGCTTCTATCACTTCACCTTTTGCTGAGTGCACAGTAAGAACAATCAAGTGTAAGAAAAGAGCTCTGGAGTGCTGTGGTAAATCCAGACAGCCTTCAGCCTTATGTCGTTATGCGATGGACACACTCCTAAATGATACTGGTCGAATCGGGACTACAATCATCTGGAGAACTACAAAAAAAACCCCATTAAATTTACACATAGCTAACAGCTGAAACTCTTTGGTAAAAAACCAAAAACAAAATTATTTGCATATGTCACAAACCGTACATCTCACAAGCTAATGTGTTTTGGTTAAAATACAAGAAGTGAGAAAGGCATGCATTAAATAACTGGCTGAAATCGCAGCTCACCACACGTATACGCCTTAAAGTCCGCATGCGCACAAAAAGATAGCTACTTAGGGACGAGCACATAAGACGGCCTTACGTAAACATATCACCAAAATGATTAACAATTAGGAGGACCACTTATTTAGGTGAGCCACCTGGAAAAAAAAAAAATCCTCCACCGACCCTTTAGGTGTTCCTACCAATTTGAGGTGTTCAGATTGGACCAGAGACTAATATTAAAAACAATGGTCTGAGTGTGTACCTGTTAGTCCTCAAGGGCTGATGTCCTGCAACTTTTAAATGTGCTTCTGCTCCAACACACCTGACTCCAACATGAGTTCATCAGCAGCTCTCTGCATAGCTTGACTAAATGCTGGTAAGGTAGTTTAGACATTTACTTCAGGATTGCAGGGCATGCATACATCTTAATGTTGCAGGACACCAGCCCTCAAGGATTTGAGTTTAAGAAAACAGGTTTAAAATCATTTAGTGAAGTGAAGAGTTTAAAGCAGGGGTGGGCAACTTCAATCCTTTAGGGTTGGTTTCCTGCAACATTTAGATTCATCCTTGGTCCAACACACCTGAATCAGATGGTTGAATTACCTCCCCCAGTATGCAATAAATTTCTCCAGAGTCCTTTTAATTATCTATTTACGTGAAACCCAAATTATTGGTATGGTATTGTAGTTTTTTATCCATTAATTATGTTTGCTTTATAAAAGCTAAATCTAGTTATGTTTTTACAGTATTTTAACTGGCAGTTTTCGCATCTGAACCAATGGGTAGAGTTAACATTACTCTGGTAAACATCACTGGTCTGTAGAAGACTATCTGTGCAAGTTAACGTTCAGATCTTAGGGTCTAATTTATTTAGGATTTCAAATCACAGAGTTCATTGCAGAACAGTAACTTTAAAATTAGTAAAATCATTTATAATATAAACTCAATTTGATAATGTATCTATATATTCTTTAGTTTGTTTTCCTCCATAAGTTTTTACTCAGCGATTCTGCAGTAGGAAATTGCTGATATGACTAAAAGAAGTAGATCAAACCTTACTTCACACTTTGAACCATCATAACATAGTCTTTCATTTGATGTAACATTTAATGATCTCAAGTGTTTACAGTTTTTATTGGTGACTTTTGTCAGAGAAGCTTTAAACCAAATTAGCAATAAAACCATAAAAAAAAAAATTTTATGCTTTTTTTTTTTGCATTTCTTTACGTTTTTTTTTTTTTGTTTGTTTTTAGGAGGCCGAATGCGCCTATGTGATCATCTTGATGGCTGTGTACTGGTGCACGGAGGTACTGCCATTGGCTGTGACCTCGCTCCTACCAGCTATCCTTTTTCCCTTTTTTGGCATTATGCAGTCTAAAGATGTAAGTCCAGCATTTCCCAGAAATTCACTGCCGATTTCAATTAGACAAAAATCAAAATTTATGTGACACATTTTTCTAGGTGGGTATGCAGTACTTGAAGGACACCAACTTGTTATTTGTGGGTGGACTGCTGGTTGCTGTGGCTGTAGAGCACTGGAATTTGCACAAACGCATTGCTTTAAGGGTGCTGCTTTTTGTTGGTGTGCGACCAGCACTGTAAGTAGCTTGGTAACTTACATAAACCCCTATCTTTCATCTCTAACTCATTTCCTAAGCCTATCTAATCACCTATCAAAAGAGGAATATACTGCAGATAAGTGCGCTAGGTTCAAGGTTTTCACTACATTGTAAAAAGTCTGTTTACACCACTTCAACTCCAGTGATATAAACCAGTCACAGCCTGGTTTTATGACTTCAGTGCTAAATCAGCTTTGATTTTTCAATCTGTTAATTTTCTATCATGATTGCAACTGGTCATAAGACAAGAAGCGGGGTACACCCTTCACCGGTTTCTGGGCCATCACAGGACAATCTGATTTTCTCCATTTTTCTGTTTCTGACAGGTTGATGCTGGGTTTCATGGGTGTTACTGCATTCTTGTCAATGTGGATCAGTAACACAGCTACCACAGCCATGATGGTCCCCATTGTTCAAGCAGTGCTGGATCAGCTCAACACCACTGAAAGCGAAGTGCCACAAACCATCAGTTCAGATCAGAATATTCAGACTTCTGAGACTGACAGCAAACCACCTGTTCAGACAGAAAAGGAGAATGAAGGACAGGGTGAGCTTCCTTAGAAATGTAAAGAGAAGAGAAAGAAACAGAGGATATATTGGGGGGAATCAAAAGGTTTTTTTGTATATAAATTAGGGACTGAAAGCTCTTTTCATTCCTCTGTCTTTGTTTTTAAGGTCCCGTGGTGGTGACTTTCCTAGATGCCTCAGTAGAGGTTGCCAGGCATAAGGAGGCAATGGAGAGGAGGAAAATGGGTAAAGGGATGACCTTGTGCGTTTGTTACGCCGCTAGCATCGGGGGCACTGCCACCTTGACAGGAACTGGTCCAAATCTGGTGCTTAAGGGACAAATGAACCAGTGAGTGTGTTACAAGAACAAAATTTTTTTTTATACATTTTTGTTTTTTAAAAGGTATTTCTCTTTCAAAATTTCTTCAGACTGTTTCCTGAAAATGACGATGTGATTAACTTTGCCTCTTGGTTCGGATTTGCATTCCCAAATATGATTATTATGTTGACTCTAGCCTGGCTTTGGTTGCAGTTCGTCTTCATGGGATTTAAGTGAGTATTATCGTCGCAAAAGGTTCTTTTGGGAAGGAAAACTGAAAAAAAAAATAATCTGCATTAGCACCGTCTTTTCTCTGTATAGGTGAAATTCAGATTCTCATGTGATTCCTTAGTTTCAGGAAAACATGGGGCTGTGGGACAACCAAAACAGAAAAGGAGATTGCTGCATATAATGTGATCCGTGAGCAACATCGACAGCTGGGGCCAATGAGTTTCGGAGAGATAAATGTCCTGTTTCTCTTCGTTTTGCTGGTACTCCTTTGGTTCTCAAGAGATCCAGGTTTTGTTCATGGCTGGGCTACCGATCTAAACTCCAGTGCAGAGTGTGTACCTATTATATTTAATTCTGATTTTGCACAAAAATACAAATTCATTCATAAAGACACTTGATTAAAGGGAATTCCGCTTTCCTCTGTCCTCCAAGATATGTGACAGATGCCACAGTGGCGATCTTTGTGGCCATCCTCCTCTTCGTCCTACCCTCTGAATTACCATGGTTCTGCTCATGCAGGACTCAAAGGTTGGACATAAGTAAGGAATCCTTCTGGGAGTATAAACTGAACGAAAAACTTAAAGAGAAGCATACCCTGTAATGTTTAGTCTCTGGTGTGTATTTATTTATCCATCTGCAGCAACACAGCAGTCCTCTGGCTCAACACCTCGACTCCTCAGCTGGAAAGTTGCCCAAAAGAAGGTACCCTGGGGCATTGTCCTTCTCCTTGGGGGTGGGTTTGCCCTCGCTAAAGGAAGTGAAGTAAGTAGGAAGAATACTTACATTGCATTACACCATGTTATATTACGTCATGGTATAATAATGGCAAAAAATAATTAAAAATAAAAGACATCCATAAGGAGACAATGCTACCAAAGCCTTAAACCCCACTGACCCTTCTATTTCCAGTTAGCCCTGTAACTCAGAAGATGAGTTGGTATTTAATGCTACATTACACTGAGTTGCCTTTAATAAATTAGTACCTTTATTATATTAATATTATTATTTTAAGATTATTTTGTATTTGATTTATCTTGTGGTATTTAATAATAGGTTGACAAACTATGATACAGAAAGTTATGCTACATTATGGTTACTGTATGCATGTTTTGTACTCTCTTACTTGACCTAGATAAGTCTCACTCTAAATGATACAAGTGTCTTGACTTAAATAAAAAAAATTTTTTTATATGCATTGCTATTTGTGATAGGTCTTAGTGGCCATTTTTAATCGTTATTTGTTTTTGATCAGCAGCTTGAAGTGTAATACTTCTGAAGTACCAACATTCAAGAAGACATACACATACTTTACTGTAGGACTCTACGGGTATAGTTTCTATGATTTATGAATACATTTTTTACATATTAGAGCCTATAATTCCAATTATTTTTAGAAACCACAACATCAAAGTTCTAACAAAATGTTTTAAGGTTAGGGGATCAAAGAATAGAAGATTTATCATTCAATAAATAGATAAGAGCCTAAGTAAACCAATTAGAGCTCCAACTTTAACGTACTTGTTTGCATAGCTGTTTGTGGTGTGGAATTTCTAAGTTTAAGCTCCTTATTACCCTACCTTATTTTACCTTACCTTACTTTACCTTACACCTTCTTTTTCTGCTTTCAGGTATCAGGACTGTCTAAGTGGATGGGAGACCAAATGGCTCCCCTGCAGAACATCCCTCCTTGGGGAATTGCTATCATTTTATGCCTACTGATTGCTACTTTCACAGAGTGCACCAGTAATGTGGCGACTGCAACGCTGTTCCTTCCTGTCTTAGCCTCAATGGTAAGAACTATCTATCAGATAGAAGGAGTTGACGTAAATACACAGACAGGTTTTTCAGACTGTTGGAGACGTAGTCACTCCTGACCAAAGGTGTTCATTTAGTAAAAGTCCTTCCTTGAGCACTTAGCTGATTTCCTTAGCTGAGTTCCAGCTCTCACTTCTCCCAGTGAGAACTGGCCTACTTTCCTGTGTTTGGCAAGCTCTCTTGTTGGTTTTTCCGGGGTTAATATGCTTAGTCCTCCACAGTGGGGCCCTCCCCCCATTAATAACCTGACAAGAACACCAGTACAGCCCACTGCCCTGTCTCACTGCCATGTATAAATGAAGAATGACATCATTGTCCCTACTGCTCAACCATTGCCCAGAGTCCCAAAGAGGATTTTATAAAAAAAAAAAAACTAATTGGGTTTTTCAAAAGATCATTAAACGGTACTGCTAAAATGATTATTCCCTGCAAAAGTATTTATACATTTTGTTTTTTTTAAACATGTTTGCCACATTAAAGTGACAAACCTCAGTGCATGATGTCTGTGTGAATTTTATTACAAAGGGAAGAAAGGAATATTCGCTTTGACTTATTTCTCTATTTTTATTTGGTTATATTCTAAACAACATCCTGTGCTTATCATGGAGCACTCCTCAATTCTCCATTGGGAAGTAGAAGGAGTACAGCATGGCTACAAATCTATGCTTAGAGATGGTGATCTGCCAAAACTAGGCAAGGAAAACAATAATCAGAGATGTAGATGGTAGTTCTAGAGAAGCTTTAGCCAGCTACAACTGAGGAAAGAGAATCTGTTGACAGAATAACGAGGGGAGAAAGCATTTAGGGACACAAAAAACAGGAAATGTTGTGTTTAGGTATGACCAAAATGTATGTTTTTAGCCTACGTACAAAACACTACGTATGGCAAAAAAAATATTCATTTCACCCATAACATTCAGTGGAGGTTTCATCATCATCCATTTCTCTGCCGCAGGGATATAAAACCTAAACAGACTGGATAGGAGGATACTTAGAGCTAAATGAAAACAAGATGCTCCAAAAGACTTAACACCGGGGCTGAGGTTCCTCTAAGAACCTTATAAATACTGTACAACAAAATCTACATTTAAATGGTTTAGATCAACAATATTCATGTGTTAAAAGAACCAAGACCCAAATTCTACTGATTCATTTTAGCAAGACTTAAAAATTGCTGATCAATCTTGCTGTATCCATTTGGCCCAGTTAATCTATTTATGTTATAAAGAGCCATCTAAATCATTACAGTAGTTCAAATGTGTCTAATCTAGATTTAATAAATATTATATAAAGAGTTAATCTAAGTGAAATGAGTTTTTTTGGAATTTGGATTTGGTTTTAGACTATTATTTAAAGTCTAACTCAAAACAAGTTTTAGCTTAGACTGCTATAAGCAAAATCTGGCTATAGACCCTGCCCTGAACTTTACATTGTTTAATTAATTCATACTTTCCCAGCCGTTTAAATTGATCAGTCAAATTGCATTGTTCAGTGTTTTTCTAAAAAGGAAGTTTCTAATCTGCCTGGGTCTCATTCTGTCACTTTTACAGGGATTCTGCATTTAGTTTTGCATGAAAAATCTGACTCTTTTCCAATGAAAAAAAAAGAACTTGGTTTCTGAAGATAACATGGAAGCAATTTTGCTTACAAAGCACAGTCTGTAATGAACAACTCGATTGTTTAATGATTAATTTTAGCTCTAAGCCTAGATTACTTTTTGGCCAGGTAGTTATATTGCCTGTCTAATCTTAGAAGAATTCGTTAGAAAGTGGTACTAAAAATACAGACAAGACAATGAATCATGTTAAGTGCCTTTACATTTTAAACCAAAAGATTAAATACTGTTCTTTGGGGGTTATATGCAACTGCATGGCACTCTTTTATATAAAAAAATAGGAAAACTATGCATGCTTTTCCTTTCACTTGCTATTAACATGGAGAACTGTTAAAAAAAAGTTGAGTGCATATGGTCAAATAGTACTTAATATTTAGGTTTATTATAAAAACAGGAGGCTAAGAATGAAGGATTTGCTTAGAGGCTCAGAACTAAACTTTTGGATATTACAATTTGGTGTTATAACAGTTTATGGGTCATTGCATAATGTGTCATGATGTTAAGTGAATCAGTGATTAAAAGAAAACATATTTATCAAGAACTAACACTATAATTTCAGTGACCTGATATACACTTAAAAGAAGTCTATATATACAGTTTATTTCTTTTTGTTCTTTGTTTATTTTGAGAAGCAGAAATTACTGTGCACTTGTTCAAGCTTCTGTGCTCCATGATATGTAATTCAGAAGCAAATTCCACTCCGTAATGCTCTCTGAGTCGCAGCAGTCTGCCATTATCCAGTACACGTGTAGCGCTTTTCTATTTTGGATGCCATGACTCAGCATCGGGCCAGCAGGAATCGCATCTTAATTGCACCCACCTAATGAGAGTTTTCACTTCGTGCAGAATTGCACACATTTCATTCAGAGTTATGAGTCAGTGATTGCGGTTGAAGAAAAATAGCCAGATAGAGGAGAGAGGGATTTCGTGATCACGTCTGTGTTTATCCCTGCTTAAGTCTTAAAAACCTCCTTTGTGATTATTGCAGTCTCAGTCCATCGGAATCAATCCGCTGTACGTCATGGTGCCCTGTACTCTGAGTGCTTCATTCGCCTTCATGCTGCCAGTCGCTACCCCTCCAAACGCCATTGTGTTTTCTTATGGACACCTCAAGGTTGCTGACATGGTGAGTACAGCTGATTGTGGGGGTTGTTTTGTAAATAATATGCTGAATCTGAAGGTGCAATGACTTTGCTGCTGCTATTATACAATTAGGACTCCAGAACCTGTATTTAATGTCATTTATAGTTCCAGCCTAAGCAGTACTTTAAACCATACTGTTAAAAAAATAAAAAGCACATCCTTCCTCCACCAAAATGATAAAAGATTAAAGGTTAGTTCAATAAGATTTAGTGACATCTAATGACTAAGATGAAGTTTAAAATTGAATAACTACCCTTACCATTGTCTCTATGTCTCTTTCCTAACATGTGGAAGAAACAATGCTGAGTACTATAAATGAGATGGATGTACGATAATAACTCAAATTTGCCACGCTTATTCTTAAGACTACATAATGAAAAAGTAGCTGTGTATTTCATTTTGGCCCATTCACTTTGACAACCTTATTTTAAAAGGCATTGAGCAAGGTTATTTTCCTCTTGATTTCAAACTTCACCATTGCACAGAATCCCTTGAAATCTTTAAATTACAGGTTTAAAATATATATTGTGGTGCTAACCCTAAGTTTGCTTGCAATGGCATCTCTTTAAAAAAAAAAAAAAACTTTTTTAAGGACTGCACCTTCTGGCATAACCAGACTAATTAAAGTTTCCTCATACTCTATATGTACCCGTGGATGCATGCAGCTTGCACCACCCCAACACACATTCACATCTGTATTCATACAAGAACACCACAGAGTTATGCTCAATGAAGCATTCTTCACACAGCCTTATATGTGTGATAGTGGCTGGTGTTTCAAATGTCTGCCAAAAAAGAGAAGCAGTAGGCTGAGTTTTTGTTTCAATGTTGTTTTTAAGAAATACTGTAGCTGGGAATAGAAAATGTTCCCACTTGTTGTTTTGACCAGACAGGGAAGGCTGTTGGTCTTGATGGTATTGATCTGACTGGAGGTGCTAAATGTTGAAACACAGATTGAAAATGTGGCAGTAAACACGTTTAATGTGCGTTTTTAGTGCTACATATTAAATGGGAGTTTTATTGTTTCTAGTCTAACCATTTGGTTTTTTACAAAATGTAGACTCTGTACTGTAACACCTTACATGTCAGGAAAGAAGAATATGAATAGAATAACTTATTCGTTTGAATTAATAGGAATGCATTAATTATCAAATGTAATATAGAGAGTTCCACAAATAGAACAAAACTTTTGTGCTTTCTTTTCAAAAAGCCATTAAACTCTTTCTTCCACTGTTCCTCCATATACTATAAGCCCTCTCAGAGAAGCAGAGTAATGTATCACTAGAAAGATTTATTTTGCTGCTAATTGGAATCTGCAAAAAAGTGCCTCATAGATTTTTGCTAAAGCAATATAAAATGAAAGTAAGCCCATTTGCGATTCTAAGGTCACAATTATGACATTATCCGGTCTGAACTGGTTTAAATCTAATCTCAAATGCCCAAAAATATTCTGTGTGTTTTCACGACAAGCATTTTCTTTCAAACAACAGCAAACAAAAATTGTAAAGCTGTTTGCAAAAACCAAATATTTCAGCACTGCTTTTTACTGAAGTCTAAAATGCACTTGATTTATTTATAATTAGAGATTAATGACAACATAGAAAGTTGGAACTGTGAAAAATATCTTTACACTTAGAAATCATTTAGAAGTTGCCAATTTGACTAGAAATGGATTTTGCATCACCTAATTTCCAACTCAAAGTGAGGCAATGCGTTGGCCAGAGAGACTGCAGAAATAAGTAAAACGTCTTTGACTCCACACATCTGATTTAGCATGCTGAGTTTAAAAGCTCATGAGAAGGTGACGATTAGAGAGTAGCTGAACAAGTATGGATTGTTCATGTCAACTATAGACTAAATAATCGGTATTGGGAATTTCTACAAAGGCAATGCGCTGTTGCTGTATGCACAACCAGGAGTCAATTATGTGAGTCAATGACTTGATGCAATTTGTTTGGCTTCCTTAAATAATATAGATTGTTAAACAATCTGACCATATGCAAATTGTTTACCTTTATTAATTGACTGAATTTAACTGATGGTTTAGGCTTACAAAGTTGCATCAATTTAAAATGAGTAAACAAGTATGTTTGACAAATAATGCACAGTACCATGTTAGGAGTAAATTAACATGCCACCACTTTGATTCTGTTTTATTTTCCAAAATTTAAATCATGTAAAGCACTTTGCAGTGTCTTTGTACTGAATTGTGTTATACAAATAAATTTGCCTTGCCTTGCCTTACCACAGATGACTCAAACTGTCACACAAGGTGGTGGAGGAGTAGTGATTTGGGCTTGTTTTATCAGCAATGTGGCTTCAAGCCTTGCTTCATGATACAATATAGCAGAAAGGAGTCTGATACCATCCCACCAACAGCTGACACTTGGACTATTTAATGATCCAACACATTCTTGGGAATCTATAGCAGATTGACTGAAAAAGAACAGAATCAATGACTTCCAGAGTGAAAGGATTTCATTCTCGAAGCAGCACTTGGGTTTTGATAAGTCAGACTGATTTATAAAACTCTTAACAACTATCAGATGCACCGTATTGTATGCATGTGTTACAGAGCTCAATTAACATGCATTTTTGGTTTAAATGCAAAGCTAATATCCATTATTATGTGTTTAGAGTTTAAATATATACTGAGTGAAAGTTTTTAAAGATATTGTAAATGAACTGACACATCTCCTTAATCATTGCATTGTTTTTGTCCCCGACAGGCTAAGACTGGTATAGTTATGAACATCATTGGTATTATTTGCATCACACTGGCTATTAACACCTGGGGCAAAGCCATGTTTCACCTGGACACCGTCCCCGCCTGGGCAAACGTCACAAGCAATTGAACGACTTCTGCAGTAGACATCATGATCTATGCACGCACCGCTGTGCCCTGCCCTCCCCATCCTCAGATGACAAACACCTAAAGCCAGACTGAAAGCGCGTGGACCAAGCAGCAATCTTCATGCGTTATGTTGCTGTCTCGATTTTTTTATGGATGTTTAGAGTGACAGAAAATCAGGGTAAATTTTAACAGGTAAAGGATGGATCATAGACAGCAACATTTATGCATCAAAATGAAGCTATACTGCAATGAAGGACCTTGGTGCCTTAAATCACATGGCAGAAACCAAAATAATATCTGTCAAGTTAACCATGAAATCTGGTCGATCTTGGCAGTTTATTCTGTCTGTGCCACTGAGGAATTTTTTTTGTTTGTTTTATTTAAATGTAGCCAAATGTTTATAGAAAGTGTTTTTTCTACATATATAGATGCTCTTGCACACTTAAACCTTGACATTATTCACATATTTTCTAGTAAAAAAAAAGAAAACATCAACTTCAGTGTGATAAAGCCTTTTTTTGTGATAGATCAAAACAAAGTATGTCTTATGGAATTAAATTGATATATGTTTGGGGAAAAAAAATCTGAAAAGTGTAATGTGTGTGTGCGTATTTTAGCTATCTTGTGTGTCCATAAGCCCTCCTGATGCTGTTTGCATTTGGACACCTCTTCTTACACAACATGAGCAATTCTTGTATCTCTATTTTGCAGTAATATCTTATTTGTGTTGATCTATGACAGAAAATTACAATAAAAATGTATTGAAGTTTCTGTAGTATGGTAAAAATGTAAAAGAGTGGAAGGTCTGATAATATTGTTGCAAGGCACTGTAATTTATCGTATTGGACATATAGTATATTAAATGCCTCTTTGTTTTTTGTTTTTTCTTGATTACTCGAAGCAAAATTTGTTTTTATTCTATATTATATAATACCGGACAGCTTTGTTCTGCTTTTCTCACCTCACAAGCAACTTACACTGTAACACTACATTGTTTTTTAATGCAAAATAAATTAAATATCTGGATGGACTTATCACTATGCATAGTTTGTGCTCTAAAAGCTTCCTTTAAATTTTTTTTTTTGACTCTGTGGAATTGGGAATTTAATAGAAAACATTTCTAATTTGTATGTACAGTATGTGTAAATGGTTTTGCTTTTTGTTTCTTTTTTATATTGCACACAAAAAAATAAAATGGTTTTAAATCAGTCTGCTTCATTTTTTCCTCTCTCTTCTTTAAAGTAATATATAATGATTTAATTTGATTTATTAAAACAGAATTAGATTTGGTTGTTTGTTCCTGTGACCATGCAGTCTTAAAGGCTTGAAATTAATCTTTGCTTTTGCAGTCAGATGTTGACCCCTTTCTGCCAGAGATGTTTGAACAATATAGGCTTAAAGTGGACAGGATTGAAAAGAGAAAACTTAGTCCAGTCACCATTTATCATTCAAAACAAAAATATCTCACTTTTATCATGTTCTGCTGTGTCTCAGCCACACACACCAATTACCCATGTTTTAAAGCACCTCTATATCTCTGCCTCTTGCTAACTGACCGCATATGTCTCGCAAAAATCAGATATAATCCTGTTAACGTGTGCGTAAAACCACTGTAATCCTGGACTTAAAGGCCACACCTAATGTTTGCCGGCAATTGTTATGTATTATTATGCCTCTGAGCCGCTGTGTGAGCCGAGGGTCAAAGCAGCATTATAGTGTTGCTCTGTTTTGCGTCATAAACATTATGAGCTCAAAGATGACATTTGGACACTGATCTCCTTTTACAGTCCCTAACTAAAGTATGTACACATAAAGCATGTCAATCTTTCTTTTGTAACAGTTACAATGTTTGTATAATTTGCTCAAATATTAGGAGACAAAAGCACAGTAGTTGTGTTCAGATTTTTAAGAAAATAAAATCTGTAATGTGTAAAATATAGCTGTATTTGGCCTCATTAAGTGTGAAATCTTAATGATATCTCTTGACATCCCACTGATATATCGAATTCACAGAGACATGGTTGCCTGTTTAAATTTACAGGCCTGGAGAGAAGAGCATTTATCATAGAACAAGCCAAAAACCTCAGGTTGGGAAGCTTGTTGAGAGGTTTTTAATAAGATGTGCACCTTTCAAATCTAACCTTAATGAAAGTAGGCAAGTATGAAAAATCTTGATTTAAGAAAGCTATGAGTTTCCCCTTTGGGCTACTCACAATACAGCGTGTGTCCTTGAAGACCAAAAGCACACTTTGCATATCAACCCTAATGCGAAACATCATTGTGAAAGCATTACTATGAGGAGACACTTTACGCCAGCAGGTGCAGGGCAGCAGATCAGAGGTGATGGGAAGGTTAGTGAAGCAAAACCGTTCAGGGATGTGAGACAAGGGTTTAAATCTATTGTTAGAATGACTCTGTTAAAGTTGACAACCAAACTGCATTGATAATCGTCTGCAAAGACTAAAAGGTACTGTTTACAGATTAGAACTATTTTGTAAAGCGGAAGGTTTCTGGATGTAGAAAGCTGCAAATAGCTTCTCTGAAACTGCAGCCAACTTCAGACTCACGCTTACAAAGAGCTTCATCAAACGCAATTGCTGGCAGTCTGCTGATTGAAAAAATTGATGCAGAAACAAAAGCCAAAAAAAGTCCTGATCCCTCTTCTGTTGGACATTTTAACATCAGACGATTGTGGGCTAAAGAGCACTTACTGCATAGAGCTGTTCCAATGGCTATGATCATGGATCCCAATGGGAAAGAATGCTTAGATAATTACAGTGCCTTTCTCTTTCTTTACTCCCTCTGTGCCACCCACTCATTATCCAGTTTCAACACATCCTCATGTATTATAGTCTATATTATTGCATATGTATATATGGGAGGCTTTAGCTGCTGCTTGCTTTGATGGAATTTATTTCCAGCTGAGTCGACACAAGCAAAGAGCTTCTTGAATAGCCAAAACAATTTTAACTTATGAAGAAGACCTTTAACTTGCAAAGTAATCAAGAAGCTGGCTTAATAATTATCCTTCAAACAAATACGTTTTTTTTGTTTTTTAGGGGGGAGACAAGAAGCTTTTTTTGTTTTGTTTCACACACCTGTTGAATTTTGAAAGCATCTTTTCAAAGAAGACATTTTGAAACCACATTATCCTTCCACCTCTGTTGTATCAGTTACACATGAACACAATATGCCGCTTGTCTGATTAAATCTATCCTCTAGCAAGAGTTAAGATGCCACTGAAACCGGGTTTCTTTAAGCAATAAGAGAATCCACTGTAGGTATAGAAACGCTGAAAGCTTAGGTATCCAAAAGCAGAACAGAGGCTCTTTCTTCTCCATCTGCCGGACAAAGTACATTCATGAACATCATTCTGGCTAATACTGCTGTTATAATCATTTACTTAGTGTGATTCCTTTGTAAATCATTAAACTTGAATAGCTCTAATGAAACAGATTAGCATTAATACTCACATTACTGCTCATTAAAAATTACAATCAGAAAAAACCCAGATATAACAACAATTTACCAGTCCATCGTAGTTATGAATTTAGAAATAAGTTTCTGAATAAAACATTTATTGTTCTTAACAAAAAGGATCAAGAATTCTTTGTAAAAGGAATAGTTTATGTTCATATGATCACTGAATCCAGAATGAGATTCACTGATTTGTACAAAAACTTGCCATTTAATTCAATCTGTGCATAAAAATAAAAACTAAAACGAAACTAAAGAGAATGCCAAGTGATTTTACACACAAGGAACTTTAAAAGTACAATATTGTTTTTCAGTTAAGGCCATTAAAAAAAGACTCTATCATGCAATATTTTATGCAAAGGTATGTCCTATGCTGCTGCAATTTTTATGCTTTTATACTTTTTTTCTGTAATTTGTGTGGTTTAAATTATGTTATTACATTCTAAGAACAGGAATATATTGTTTTAACTGTTTAAGTTTTGCTTCTAAATCTGCTAAGTTAACATTTATACTAGACAATTGTATGCATATTAATCACAAAAATATGCAACTATAGAGTTCTCACCATAGCTGTTCAGGGTGCAACTTCATTTAGTTAACAAAAAAGTAACCTCAGGATCCTTTACAGGATACGGGTCCAATTCCAGGGTGTATTCTGACTGACTGTTCAGATCTGGCTTGAAAAATAAGGATCCAGGAGTTGCTTTTCAAGCCAATATTCCCTTTTAAGAGGAGGTTCTTCCTGCACCACAAAACTGCTGTAAAAGATGATTCACTGGATCTTCTAAACACCGTTCATGTATGTTTTGGTCTAAACCCTACTACTAGCTACTGTACCACTCCTTATGATCCTCAGTATTGTTTTATTTAGATTGTGGGTCAATGAGCCCAGAAGTTCCTGTTAAACTATATTTAAACCCTGCAGTCCTTTTTTTCTGTGACATTAAAGTGCAAACATTTAGGTCACCACCATCCCAAAATGGTCTAACCATCTATCTATTTTTCTATTTATATAAACAGTACTGGCACATTTAAACCAGCCATGATAGGCACTTTGACAGTTTACTTTTTGGGTTTTGCTCTGCTTTAAAAAAATATTTAGATTTGCATACATGACAATTTTTTTTAAGAACTCCACCTCTGTGTTGCATTCTCATTTTGATATTTTTATACAGGTGCTGGTCATAAAATTAGAATATCATGAAAAAGTAGATTGATTTCAGTAATTCCATTTAAAAAGTGAAACTTGTATATTATATTCATACATTACATACAAACTCATATATTTCAGATGTTTATTTTGTTTAATTTTGATGATTACAAATGACAACAAATGAAAATCTCAAATTCATCATATCAGAAAATTAGAATATTACTGAAGACCAATAAAAACAAAGGATTTATAGAAATGTTGGCCAACTGAAAAGTATGAACATGAAAAGTATGAGCATGTACAGCACTCAGTATTTAGTTGGGCCTCCTTTGGCCTGTATTACTGCAGCAATGCGGCGTGGCATGGAGTCGATCAGTCTGTGGCACTGCTCAGGTGTTATGATAGCCCAGGTTGCTCTAATAGTGGCTTTTAGCTCTTCTGAATTGTTGGGTCTGGTGTATTGCATCTTCTTCTTCACAATACCCCATAGATTTTCTATGGGGTTAAGGTCAGGAGAGTTTGCTGGCCAATTAAGAACAGGGATACCATGGTCCTTCAACCAGGTACTGGTAGCTTTGGCACTGTGTGCAGGTGCCAAGTCCTGTTGGAAAATGAAATCTGCATCTCCAAAAAGTTGGTCAGCTGCAGGAAGCATGAAGTGCTCTAAAACTTCCTGGTATGTGGCTGCGTTGACCCTGGACCTCAGAAAACACAATGGACCAACACCAGCAGATGACATGGCACCCCAAACCATCACTGACTGTGGAAACTTTACACTGGACTTCAAGCAACGTGGATGAAGTGCCTCTCTTCTTTTCCTCCAGACTCTGGGACCTTGATTTCCAAAGGAAATG